AAAATATTGAGGGAGCCTGGCTGCTGTTAGCCAATTAATATCAACTTATGTAGGTCAGAAACAGTATATAAAACTGAACCCACGTGTGATATTAAGATACATATATTTGGGTTTTCATCCATGGTTCTAACCTTCCCTTGCCTTTCTGTCTTGGAGATGGCCGTAAAGATATTCTCTGACCTATCTTGTCTGATTGTAGATCATAAGACCCCCATTCCAGAAAGGGCCCTGCCCCATACCCAAGAGGAAGGAATGCTGCACAGAGAGGCCAAGAAGAGTCTGAACAGACAGGCCTTGTGGGTTTCCCCACACAGGCTGTTAGTGTTAGATCACACCCTTTTTGTCCAATCACATTTCTACACAGTTGTCCGTGCTTCAGTCATGCCTATATAATGAAGCTTCCATAAAAACCAGAGATCATTGGGTTCAGAGAGCTTCTGGTAAGCTGAACACATGGAGGTTCCTGGAGGGTGGCTCACGCAGGGAGGGCATGGAAGCCCCTTCCGCAAACCCTTCCCCGTACCTTGCTCTGTGTGTTTCTTTGTATCCTTTGTAACATCCTTTATCATAAACCAGTAAATGTAAGAACATGTTTTCCTGAGTGCTGTGAGCCACTCAAGCAAGCTAATTGAGCCCAAGGAGGAGGTCATGGGAACCCCAATTTATAGCTGGTCAGTCAGAAGTTCCAGAGGCCTGGGCCTGCGACTAGTATCTGAAGGGGGGGTGCAGTCTTGGGGACTGAGCCCTCACCTGTGGGATCTGACACTGACTCTATGTAAATAGTGTCAGAATTGATGGAATCAGAGGACAACCAGCTGTTGTCCACTGAAGAATTGCTTGCTTGCTTGCTAGCTAGTGGGGAGAAATCCCTACACGTTTGTTCACAGAAGTGGGTCTTCTGTATTGTTGCTAAGTAAGAGCTGAGGTTGGGTTTTTTTCCTCTCACCACGTTCTTTTTGTTTTTGGTTTCTTCTTTTTGATTATACAAATTTTTTTTTTTTTTGGTGGCTGGCTGGTACAGGGATCTGAACCCTTGACCTTGGTGTTATTGATTATACGAACATTGTCTCTTCTCTCTACTGCCACTCTTTACCCCTCGCTGCTGGTCTCCCTACCTGTCTGTATTTCAGGATGCCCTTTAATAAGTGTACATTACCACCAGTATTGCTTCTGTCCCCAGTTTTTTTCTAGAATGTTGCTGCAGCTGGCCACAGCACGTTGCCTGAAATCTAGACATATATTTCAGAATGAGGAAGGCTGGGAAACACAGCCCCAATTATCACTGATAAAATGGGGTGAGGGTGACTGTACACAGGCCACAGGTTTGGAGGAGTGCGTACTCTCAAGCATGGCAGCCCGTTATTCCAGGGCGGCACTCCTGTCTACTTTGAATTTTGCTGACTCCGTACCAGCGTGATAGTGGAAACGCTGTCCCTTTCACCGGTGGAGGTAGACATTTTTAAAGAAAACACTGATGGTGAGAAAAGAGGGAGGAAAGAGACATGGGCCGACATTAAGGGAGGACAACGCATGCTAGGGAAGTCCTTTGGATGTAGTAATTGTGAATTCCTACAACTTCTGATGCTAGCTCAGTGAGAACTGTCAGGATAGCCAGAGGGAGATGGTGTTATGTAGAGAGGAGGGTGCCAGGGTTCTGGCTGGCTTCCTTGTGGCCTGGATCTGCCACCAACTCTGTGCATCCTCTCTGTGTGAGTTCCTCCCACTGTAAAAGGGAGATGGGGTAATCCGTGTCCTGCCTACCTGTCGGGTCATGTGATCATGCATTTTAGGTGAATATGAAGAACTAAGTGCGGGTTAGGGAGCCTGATCATTTTACATGCTGCCTGGGAATTTTGGTTCCCCTTGTGTTTCTTGGGATGAAAAGGAGTCATGGGATGATTGACTCATCTATCATTTTTTCCGGAGTTCTGCACTGAAGAGCCTTAGCATTAAGGGTGGGTATGTCATAGTGGCCAGGAAGATATGATGGTGCTTGTAGAGTAAGACCACTTGAGCTATTGTAGCCTCAGTCTGTTCTGCTGGGAGGCCAGAGAAAAAGCTTTTCAGTGAGGGTCCCATCTAGGCCAGAGTGTGAGTCTTGGAGACCTGAATATTTCTAGCACCTGGTAGCATATGGCCCAGCAGCAGAGGCATTCCTTACTACATACTCTTTGCACCCCAGAAAGGTTTGCTGCATGTCTCAAGTGTGGGCTGGACAGGCCTGTCCTGAGGCTTTGTGTGTGCTGGCCACAGGGCTGTCTCCAAATCCTCTTTATAGCACAGTAATGCAGAAACGCTGTCTACTATGGACTTCCCTCCTCCCCAGTTGATTCTCACTTACTGAATGACACACATTATTGAGCAGGATCACCTCTTCTTCCCCCAAGGATGTGACAGCCACAGAACGATCATCTTTTTAGCAATTCTCAAAATGACACATCCCTGGTAGCTCTAAGTCCCCATTTGTTACTGTATACTAGTTTCCTATTGCCGCTGTAACAAATGGCCACAAACTCAGTGGCTTAGAACAATGTACAGTTATTATCTGACAGTTCAGGAGATCAGAAAACCAGCGTGGGTCGCACTGGGCTAAAATCAAGGTTTTTGCATAGCTGTGTTCCTTCCAGAGGTTCCAGGGGACAATCTGTTCCTTGTCTTTTCCAGCTTGTAGAGGCCGCCTGCAATCTTTGGCTCATGACCCCCTTCCAGCCGGTGTTTGCATCACTCTGACCTCTGCCTCCATGTCAGATCTGCTTCTCTGACTCTCCTTTTCCCTTCTTTCCCTTATAAGGACCCTCGCGATGACATCGGGCCCACTCTGGTAGTGCAGGATAACCACCCGCAGCTCAAGATCCTTAACTTAATCATGTCTGCAAAGTCCCTCTTGCCATGTGAGAAAACATATTCACAGGGCACAGGATTAGGATGTAGACATCTTTGAGGAGCTGTTATTCTGCCTCCGATATGCTGGCTGTCTCCTTCCTGGTGTCAGTCTGCTCTGTAACTGCAAGTACAGCATCTGCCCTGGGGGCTGCAGAGCTTGATGAGCACTGGCGGGGTCAGAAGCTCAGTGCCACTTGGCAAATGAGTCATGCCCTGCTTGTGCAACACATGGGAGACGTGGAGATGAGGAAGGCCCACCTCCAGCTTAGATTCTTACAGGAGAGTTTCCTATGGGAGCAGTTGAAGGCAGACCAAATAAGCAGTATCTTAGAGGAATGCACAGATTGTTACAGAAGTGCGGCAGACTCATGGGTGCTCTCCCTTCTCCATACATCATCATCAAAATAAGAACTTGTCTTCCTCTTGATGATCACACTGTTCACTGATCACTCAACCTGAGCCAGGTACTGGGCTCAGTGCTTTATATACATTGTCTCAGTTAATCCTGTAAACAATCCTATGAGGTAAGTATCATTTTGGGGGGTGGGGGAAGGTAGAACCTTTATAACCACAGAAGTAATATTAATTATAGAAAAACAAGAAAATATTGGCAGGCTGGTGGTTAGCTCAGTTGGTTAGAGCATAGCTTTATAATACCAAGGTCACAGGTTTGGGTCCCAGTACCAGCCAGTGCCAAAAAAAAAGAAAAAATATTGGCAAACATTTTTATTGGTTTGCTTCTTTTAAGTCAAAATAGTGTCAGAACATGGCCACAGGAATGAAATTGTATAAAAGGGCTAATGGAAAGCAATGGTCCCGCTTCTTCCCTGTCCCTGTGCCCCAGAGGCAATTGGTTTTAATTGTTTCTTGAAGTTAGGCAGGTTCTGTGTGGTCCACATTTCTCAGGTGGAAAGCAGGCTTGGAGAGGTTAAGGAATTTGTCCTACATTAGAAAGAGCAAAGGCGGGCAGTGTGGTAAGCTGGTTAAGCTTCTGGAGTCATTGCCTGGGTTTCAGTCCCAGCCATACCACTTGTAAGCACTGTGGCCTTGAGCAAGTTGCTTAACCTCTCTGAGCCCCAATTTCCATAACTGTACTATGACGTTAACATACAGCATTGTTCTTATAGCACTTTAGATAGAGATTCAAATGAAAGAGTAAGCATAAAGCACTTAGTACAGAGTTTGGCATGTAGTAGGCACTTTATAATTAACGATTACAATTATTATTTTATTTATTTAATTTTTGGCAGATGGCCAGTACAGGGATCCGAAAGCTTGACCTTGGTGTTATCAGCACCATGCTCTCCCAAATGAGCTAACCAGCCAGCCCTACAGTTATTATTATTATTGTTATTCCAAATAAAAAATCCCAAGCTCTTATCATCTACTCATTCTTTCACTGGCAGTAGGTATATATAGCAGTGAGCAAAAGCAGTGTGCCCCCATGGTCAGGGAGAGAGACCTTAATCAAATGAGCACATTAATAGATGTGAAATTCCAGATGCATAGGTAGTGTAAAGGTGTCACAGGAGTGTGTGGTCAAAGGATGTGACTTAGTGAGGCCAGAGATGGCAGCCCTAAAGAAGTGATGCTTGAGCTGAGATCAGGAGGGAAGGAGGAGGGGATAGTAACTGGTTGATAAAGAGCATTACTGACATAGGAAATAGCATGTGCAAAGGCCCTGTGGTGGGGAGGGTGTGTGTGTGTGTGTGTGTGTGTGTGTGTGTGTGTGTGTGTGTGTGTGTGTGTGTGATGTGCTTAGGGGAGTGAAGGAAGATCAGTATGGCACAGTGCTGTCCTGCACCTTATCTTGGATTCCCCTAGGGCTTCCTGTAACTTCTGCCTGCTCACTGGTTGTGGTTGTGGTTGTGGACAGAGGTGAGCCAGCATGGAGTGTGGGGGCAGGACGGCTTGAGGGAGTGGTGCTGTCAGGCAGACCTCAGCTGGGCTGCGTTTTCAGCATCTGGACTTGGGGATCTCAGGCGGGTGGGTGGGTGGAGTCGTGTGGCCTGAGTTTCTGCAGGCGCTGGCTCAGGGGCAGGAGGGTTTGGGGCTGAGGATGGCGGGCACTGGCCCCCAGCAGCTGCCCGTGCCATGACCTCCTTCCCTGGGGCCAGGTAAAGAAGATGGGTGAGCTTGGGCTTCTGGCCATGGATGTGCCTGAGGAGCTCTGTGGTGCCGGTCTCGATTACCTGGCCTATGCCATTGCCATGGAGGAGATCAGCCGCGGCTGTGCCTCTACTGGAGTCATCATGAGTGTCAACAATGTGAGGCCCCCTCTTGGGTCCCTGGGATGCATAGCGGGAGGGGAGGCTCCTGTGGGCAGGCAGGCATTCTGGCCATGAGTCCCAGCATCCTGGGCACAGCCAGGCCTTGGCTCCCAGTCCCTGATCTCCCTGGAGACAACTCTGGATTTGGTCCTCCTAGGTAGACCTCAGGTGCGAACATGCCTTGGGGTGCTGCCTGCGGGTGGGCATGGTGTGCCTGGGCTTGAGGGCCTCTGACCACTCCCCACTGTCCCCACCAGTCTCTCTACCTGGGGCCTATCCTGAAGTTTGGCTCCAAGGAGCAGAAGCAGCAGTGGGTCACTCCTTTCACCAGTGGCGACAAAATTGGCTGTTTTGCCCTCAGTGAACCAGGTATTACAGTGGCGTCTCCTGTCCCTGCACCTCAGAATCTGGGTGACAGACCTGAATAGGAGGTGGGTTGCCCCAGGTGAGAGGCAGGAACCCGTGGTGCCATGGGCCAGCCGCTGGTTGCTTCCTGAGGCCAGAGGAAAGGCTTCTAGTGTGGGTGGTTGGGGCTGAGCTTGGCTGCCTGGGGTCTTCCAACGGGGACGCTGTGCCTTGTCTGAGTGGGAGGAAGGCTAGGCTTGAAGATGCCCCACTCCTGCACACTGACCTTTCTTGCCCTCTTGGACTAATCTCTGGGAGCTTTGGGAGCTGGCGCGGCACTGGAGTTTTCTCTTGGGAGCTAGAACCCTAATTCCTTAGTGCCCAAGGTATAGGGTCTTTGTGCTTACCAGCTCTGGGGTGAGGCTGGGTTCCCCAGTGAGCTGGTGGCAGTGCCCGTAGAGGCGGTACGGTGGTATGGGCTCCTGAGTCTGTGTGTGGGGCAGGCAATGGCAGCGACGCGGGAGCCGCTTCCACCACTGCCCGGGCAGAGGGTGACTCGTGGGTCCTGAATGGCACCAAAGCCTGGATCACCAACTCCTGGGAGGCCTCAGCCGCCGTGGTCTTTGCCAGCACAGACAGATCCCTGCAGAACAAGGTGGGGACCCCAGAGAGAGGGTCAGTTAGACCTCTGGGCTGCATTCATTCCATAGTTTCTGGATCTAAGTCTATTGGAACAGTTCCTGCTCCAGGGCAAGTTGGGGCTGCCCCTTTTCCGTCCCTGGCCTGCCACTGGCAGCTGCATCTTCCTCAGAAGCCAGCAGATGGTGTCCTGGCCTGAACTTCCACAGGAGGCAGAGGGGAGGGGCTGGAGTTGGTGTCTGGGGGTGCTAGGGTAGGGGCGTGGCCTGGGGCAGCCTCTGAGGAAACTTCTTGGCCTTTCGGGCCTTTCAGGGCATCAGTGCCTTCCTGGTTCCCATGCCAACGCCTGGGCTCACGCTGGGGAAGAAGGAAGACAAGCTGGGAATCCGGGCCTCATCCACAGCCAACCTCATCTTTGAGGACTGTCGCATTCCCAAGGACAACCTGCTGGGGGAGCCGGGGATGGGCTTCAAGATAGCCATGGTGAGCCCGGCAGCAGGGGCAGTGCTCTGGGGCAGGCCCCGGGCCGCGCTGGCCAGCTGCTGATGGGGCGGTCCTCACAGCAAACCCTGGACATGGGCCGCATTGGCATCGCCGCCCAGGCTCTGGGCATCGCCCAGGCTGCCCTCGATTGTGCTGTGAACTACGCTGATACTCGTATGGCCTTTGGGGCACCCCTCACCAAGCTCCAGGGCATCCAGGTAACGGGAGGTGGCTTTAGGAGCTGGGTCTGGACGCTGGAGGGTGGGAAGCTCCCGGGTCTTCCTCCCTTCTCTCTCCTGCCCTTGGAGGGAGGAGGGAGGGAAGGGGGCAGCTGCTGACCAGTGGGTGGGGTGGGCTTGTTGCAGTTCAAGTTGGCAGACATGGCCCTGGCCCTGGAGAGCGCTCGGCTGCTGACCTGGCGTGCTGCCATGTTGAAGGATAACAAGAAGCCGTTCACCAAGGTGCCTGTGGAAGGTCTCCCAGGGCCTGGCCTTAGCGGGCCAAGGGCCTGAGGGGGAAGTCTGAGTGGGTCCCAGTTCCTTGGGCCTTGGTGGGTCAGGGGTGTGGGCCTGTGGGTTTATTGCCCGAAGGGGAAGTTCCTGCAGGCCCGCCCCGGCTGAGGGCCCTGAGCTGGGGGCTCCCCTTGAGATGAAGTTTCTGACTCTGCCATCCCCTGTGGTCAGGAGGCAGCCATGGCCAAGCTGGCTGCATCAGAGGCTGCAACTGCCATCAGCCATCAGGTGAGTGTCCATGGGAGGCCCCAGGGTGCCAGCTGCCTCCTCCTCAGCTGGTCCTTTTGTGTGGCTGGTCCTGCCCATCTTTCCCCATGGGAGGGGGTCTTCTCCCTGCTGAGCCCTTGCTTTCCATCTTAGGCCATCCAGATCCTGGGCGGCATGGGCTATGTGTCAGAGATGCCGGCTGAGCGGCACTACCGTGATGCCCGCATCACTGAGATCTACGAAGGCACCAGTGAGATCCAGAGGCTGGTGATCGCTGGACAACTGCTCAAGAGCTACCGGAGCTGAGCCCTTTTTCAGGGCCCATCTGCGCTCCACCCGGGAGCTGGGCAGCCTGAGGACCGTGGAAAGGAGGCGGGAACCACATGGCCTTAACCTTGATTCCTGGTCAGAGATTGTGGCAGCTGGGAAGGGGCCATGCTCTTCATGACAGGCCCACCCTGACCCCAGCCCTCTGGACTGGCTAGAGAGCTCTCCTGCCCCCCACACCTCTGCCTGCCCCAGATCAAACTGCCAGAGAATAAATCTTGGGGAGAGAGGAGTGGCGAAAGGTGGTGGCCTGTGCCTGAGGACAAACCCGTCTTCAGCTAGGTTTCTTGGCTCTGTTACCTCTTCTCCATGAATGTGCCTCATTTTCATCATCTGAGTGGTCATGGCATCCTGGAGGTGGGACTGGGGAGCCCTAAGTGACCCTGTGGCATTCCCCAGTTCCCATGAGCCCTGGTGCTTGGCCTGAAGACCCAGGTGGGACAGGCTCTTGGCGGCGTCTGTTCTCTTCCCTGAGGTCAGGGGTCAGAGAGAGAGTGGGGTGGGGGCCAGGATGACCAGGCCTCAAAGCAGCAGCAGTTGTGTTCTCTTGGGCCTGGGGGTGCCAGGCTTAGAAAGGCGATTACTGGGTTGTGGCATCTGTGGCAGCCCAGGGCCCCGTACATCTCTGTAAAGTATGAGGGTACATAAAAAATTCATGGGAAGGTTCATTTTATCTTTTTTTTTTTTAAAGATGACCGGTAAGGGGATCTTAACCCTTGGCTTGGTGTTGTCAACACCACGCTCACCCAGTGAGCGAACCGGCCATCCCTATGTGGGATCCGAACCCGGGGCCTTGGTGTTATCAGCACCACACTCTCCCGAGTGAGCCACGGGCCGGCCCTCATTTTATCTTTTAATTATATTTTTCTGTGATTGTTTTGAAGGACCTTCACAGAAATGAGTGCAGAGGGGTGGTCTGATTTGAGCTTTGTAGGGTGAGCTGTGGGATCTGTCTGTAGGTAATAAAGCATACCTGTCTCCTGACCCTTCTGTCCTCACCCTCTCCTGGGGTGCTGCTGGGGAGGGAAGGTGGTCGTTAGTCAACACAGAGCCCCTGCTGTCTGGCAAACTCCACCCTGTGTGTTGTGGGGGGAGGGGGTTGCTGACTCAGCAGAGAGGCCTCTCTGCCCTGGGAAAGCTCTGGAGCTCCAGGAGGAGGCAGGGTTGGCTAAGGAGGCTGTTCAGGAAAATAAGGACCTAGATTGAGGCGGCCTCAGTCAGTGTCTGGGAGAGTGACCACGAGCAGGGTGGTGCAGGCAGGGCCACTGGGCTAGAGTTACTTCTCTAGGGAGGAGGCACCAGGTTGCTGGGGAGGGGGAGGTATAGGGATAGGGGCAAAGCTGTAGACGGCCCTGAAGCTCAGGCCGAGGAAATGGAGACTTGAAGCCATTTTACTTCAAATTGGAGTGCTCCAGTGGCCCAGCCCTCAGCCAGCTAGTGAGAGAGGGGGCCCTGGTGCCCCGCGGGGTCAGGTTTGAGCGGAGGTGCCTCCAAAGCCAGCGCCCAAGCTGTCAGTGGGTAAAGACGAGCATGGGAAGTGTTCAGAGGAGATGGGGACGGCCCTCGGCAGAACAGGAAGGGTAGGGCAGCCGACTGTCTGCTACAAAGACCTTCTAGGAGCCATCACCAAGCGGGCGTGAGCAACCCAGAACCGTCGCTGTGCCAGGCGCCAGTGTCCCAGAATGAAGGATGCAGCCTCAAGCCTCCAACTCCACCTGTGCGGCCGGCTCTGCCCGCCCTGCTCTCCGCCACCTGGGCCCTGCCCTGGGCCTGCGCATAGGCTCCGGCGGGCAGCTCTCTGCACACTTGTAGATGAAGGCCCCCTCATACTGGTGGCTGTCGTGCATGGGTGCACGCATGGGCGGCCCAGCTGCTATTGGGGTGTGGGTGGGTGGAGCTGTGGGAGGGAGGCGGGTCCCCCAGAGGGTAGAGATGAGCTTCCTCACGTGAATTTCCATCTTGATTTTCCTCCGCCCCTCACTGCATGGGGTGGGCTCCTATGGGCCCAGGGGCCTGTGGGGCGCCAAGTGATGTTGTCCCTGCCAAGGGGGTGCAACCACAGCTCTTGGGGATAGCTTTCCCCCATGCTCTTAAGGTCAGGCAGCACCTGGGCAACTTAGCAGAAGTTTGGGTATTTGTGCCTCCCTCGTGGCTTCATGTAAGCTCTAGAGGGTCTTGGCTCCTAACTCACAGCCTCTCTGGGTCTCCTCCATCTACCCCCGTCCCCACCCTGGACTCGCCAAAGGTACAGAGAGCAGTGGGATTCAAGGCAGCTCCCAGAAGCCGCCAAGTTTGACCCACCCACCTGGTGGCTGATGAAGGTCTGTCACTCCCTGAGTCACTGACCCCAGATGGGGTCCCTGTGAGCCCAGGAACAGCAGGGAGAGGGTGTTCAGAGGGCTCCATGGCCCCTCCAGCTAGGTAACCCTGGCTCCTGGCCCAGATGAGGGGTAGGAGTGATGCCAGAGGAAAAGGGGTCTGGGAGGCCCTATAGCCAGCCTCAACACACCCCATTTTCTTACCAGGTTCTTGACTCTGCCACAGGAAAGAATTCAAGGGCAGAGTCAGAAAAGTGAGAACAGGTTTAATATAACAAATAAGAGATACAAATTTCACAGAGAGTGCAGCACAGCTCCACAGACTGAGCAGGGCCCACACCAAGTTTAACACAAAAGTGAGAAATACAGTTTGTTGCAGGCTGTCTCAAGAGTGTGAGCAGCTGCTTGCTGAAAGTAAGTTTGACATGAAAGACAGCATACACACCTCAGCCAGCAAAATGAGCAACAAGACAACCTACCTTCCGCTGGGATTCAACTTTCATAGTTTTGCTAATGTATATTCATGTTAACTAATGAATATTCAATCGGGCGGGTCCCTGTTACGTGCCATAGTCTTTTTTTTTTTGTCTTTTGTCTTTTTCCGTGTCCAGCAACGGATCGCAACCCTCAGTGTTGCCCCCGTACCGGACCGGGGACCGGCAACGGGTTTGCAACCCTCGGCGCTGCTCCCGCGCCCCGCTCAGCCAGTGAGCGGGAACCGGTCTGCGTGTGGGATCCGAACCCTCGGGCGGGAGCGCCGCCGCGCTTCCCAAGCGGCAAACTATCCAGTGCGCCACCGGGCCGGCCCATGCCATAGTCTTGCATATGCTCAGTTCGTCTCTTTGAAGCATGTTCATTGGTCAAATCCTATCACATGCACTGAAAATATTCAAGAATATTCTGTGCTCTTTAGCACCCCTAGTGGAAGGTCATTCAGAGGATAAACTCCACTTTACTGAGCCTGCCCAACTACCAGAGCTATATAACCCCTCTGCTGAGCCTGCCCAGCCACTGGACTGGCATGAACCAGCCTGGTGTAGTCTCTATTTCTGCTGTGTTGGTGCCAAAAATAGTCAAACTAGTAAGGGTAGCCTTCCTCTAGTGGGGGTTCCTAGAGGAGGGGCTTGAGACCTTGGGGAGTGGCTTAAAACCCAGAGATGTGTCCTGAAACCTGGACCCAGGCAAACTGAGCACCTCCTATCTCAGGAGAACAGGTACCGTGGTTGAAGGCATCTTTGGGCCATTTGCTTGTGGGGGGCGTGGAGGGAAGTGTTGGGGTCAGAAGGGAACAAACAGCAGGGTCCTGAACTGATTCTTAGTCCCAGGCAGGGACACCCAGACTGGGGAACCAGGTCTCCTCCCCCAGGACTCTGGCCCCACCTGGCTTGGTTTTCAAGCCCAGAGGGCCTTAGGTCTACCTGCCCTGCCTGCTGAGAAGCATCTAGGCCTTAAAGGGCCAACGACAGCCAGCTTGAGCCACCTTACTTCCACCAGGGCAAAGGGCTGGGCCCAGCAGAGTCAGCCCAGGCCAGGGAGCAGGCCTCTGTTTTCCAAGTGGCGGTCCCAGCTGGGTTTCTACCTCTCAGAACTGCAGGGCTGCAGGGCCGGTTGGAGGCCATGTTGTCCTCCATTTCACAGATGAAGTACCCGAGGTTCTGAGCTAGGGTCCAGTCTGTGCAGTTGGGTGCTTTAAGGAGCTGTCATGGGCCCTAGGTCTGCCCCTCTCCAATGGGGGAAGAGTTAATGCACACACCCTTGCCCTTTTTTTTTTATACATAGATGTGGGGTCCAACGTTTTCAATAATTGTGTACAATGTGTGGTGGTTAGATGAGCATAGTTAGCTTATTCATCATTACAATACGCAGTCCTTCTTTGTGTCAGTTGACCAGGTCCTAATTAGCCCCCCTCCTTCAGCCCCCCCACTTTTCTTCCTCTAGTTTTCTAAAAGTTCGACATATTACTGTGATTGTTGTTTCTTTCTTTCTTTCTCTCTGACTTTGACAGGGAGTTGGCCTCTGTTAGTCCAAGCTCCTCCTAGCTCAGAAATGAATTCTGAACTCTTTCTTTGGGTCCATTTGAACCTGAACTCTCAGAGATCAGACTGCAGACATCATGCCTCTTTGCACCTAAATTCTCCAGTGTGTGTTTCCTAAGAGCAAGGACATTCACTTATATAACAATGGCACAATTATCAAAGTTGGGAAATGTAACCATGATGAAGGTTGAATCTACAGACTCCATTCAGATTTTACCAAGAGTCTCAATGTCTTTCACAGCAGTTTCTCTGAAGGTCCGGGATCATGTGTTGCCTTCAGTTCAGAGGTCTCCTTCACGCTAGGACAGTTCCTGAGATCGAAATTTGGTTTTCATGACATTTTGTTTTTGGCAGCTGGCTGGTACAGGTATCTGAACCCTTGACCTTGGTATTACAACACCACGCTCTGACCAGATCATGACATTTTGAAGTGTCCAGTCTGATTGTTTTGTAGACTCGTCTCTCAATCTAGATTAGTCTGATGATTTCTTCATGATTCGATTCACGGTTGTATTTGTTAGCAGTAATAGAGTAATGGTGTCCCTCTTTTATTCCTGATATGATTTTATCCTTTTCTTAATTAATTTCCTGAGGTCTCTTAATTAGAACAGTCTTTCTAGAAAGCCAACTTTTGGCTTTATTGATGTTCCATGTTTAAAAACATTGTGTTTTTAAGTTTTTATTTGATAGTTTTATTGTTTTCTTCTACTTTTTTCGTGGATTTAATTTGCTGTTATTATCCCAGCTTCCTAAGATGAGTGTTTATTGACTTTTTTTCAGCCTTTTTGCTAATAAATGAATTTAAAGTTATATATTTCCCTCTAAGTGTGGCTTTCTCTTGATTTTATAAATTTTAATATGTCATTTCATTATCACTCAGTTTTCTG